GACCGGTCTCGGCGAATCCGCGCGCGCTTAGTTTTCATTCATCACGTTTTATGACTTTCTCTCTCATCCCCTCATCTCTACCCCCCGCTAAATGAATCGGTCCGAAGGATGCGCTGGCTACGCATCGAGTCATCCTTCTCGCAGCGATATGCTCGCTGCGGTCGGTGCGGCGGGATTTCCCGCGGGATTTCCCGCCGCGATGCCTCTCACCGAGCTGTGAACGTAGGGTGAACAACGCGCCTCTCTTGGAATCACGCGCGACGCGTGCCGGATGCGTCGATCGCGAGCGCGATATCTCCCGCGAATGTTGCTCCGCAAACGAGGATAATAAATATTTGAGCACGGGGCGAGGATGGACGCGCTTGTGGGAAGAACGCGTCCCCCGTTCGACGCGTCTTTTAACAACGCCCTCATGCATAATGCAATCCGGTAAGTAACAACTGCTCCCCCGCTGCGGACCGAATGCGAGACGCGCTCTATGTCGCGATATGGAGCTACTTAGGCGTGAATTAAGCGGCCGGACGATAGTAAAGTTGGAAATATACTGTGTGCTTTACGATATATTATACAAAGTGCTCCACCGCTACGACATGATTCGGTAATAGCAGATCTTTTGACCAATTTTGAAAACGATTTTTCGAGAAAATGTCTAATTTTTAGCAATGCGCATCTTTGCTATTCGAGTCAAATTTTTGAGATTGAAATTGAAATAATAAAATTTAGATAAAAATCTAGATAAAAATAATGTTACGAAACAATTTAAAAATTTTTTCAATATATACAAACTCTGAAAAGGATTGAAGATAATAGTTTTAATATATTCGATGTAATCTAGCGGGATACTTTTCTTTTTGCCAATTGCTTCGAAACTTTTAGAAACTTCGATGTTTCCGCCTCGGAAAGAAAGCTCTACCCTAACCCAAAAAACCGTAATTAGAATAAAATGCGTCATTGTGTAACGTCTATTGCCCGACGATGTTACAGATATAAGAAACGCAAAGGGGAAGATTTCTCACACATAAAGCCCACAAAGTATAGTTTGATTAACGATTCATTTGTCATCATTATGACAGCGGCCGTCCGACGCGACGCCTCCAATTACATGAGAATCTCCGAAACGAGGAGGAAAATAAAGAGCCCGCGATCGTGGGGGGAGATTCATAATCCTCTTGAAGTTATTAATCCTCCGGGAATTTCTCGAAGCCCCGTTGTCGCAGCCGGTCGCAGAGAGCGCGATAAGTCGGACCGTTGTGGATTAGGCGGGCGAAATAATATTTCCATCGTGATCTCCGCTCGCGCATCCGAGCGGAGTGGAGCGAAGCCGAGCCGAGGCAAGCCGAGCCAAGCCAAGCCGGCGCGCGGTCCAGGTGTGAGGAAAGCGTCGTGGCACAATAAAACGTCACTCGCTATTGAGAGGAAGGAGAACGGATCCTTTGCGAGATGCGTGAGCGCCACCCCTAAACGCTGCCTAGATGAATGGATCGCTATTCTCGGGGCCCTATTTCTATTGCCACCGGGTACAAACGGACGCGAGCGAGCGAGCGAGCGCGTTCCAGCTCGCGAGGGATGCACAACCTCCTCCCTCCGCCCCGCCCGTTTCAACATCACGTATATTTTTCACCCCGCGATCTCAGCCAAGAGAAAGAGAGAGGAGAGACCGAGACAAATACCCTTATTTGTACACATCCTGTGCATTGTGACGTAGCTCGGGGCACCCAGGCGGGGCCGCGCGCGGCCGACTTCCGGCGAACTCGCGGGACCCGCAGCACCCAGCCGCCCTCCGACCCACCCTGTCCGCGTTGCCGCTTTATTCTCGCCCCACGATCGCGCGCCGGTGGGTGGAGCGGCCTCGTGTTGTGTACCTGCCGGATGGAGCGAGCTACGTGATCCTCTTCTTCTCGAAGTGATATCAGAAACTTTGCCAAGCAGCCGGGTCGCGCTCGCGCTCGGTTCGCGGAGCGCGTCTCTTCCGCTCGCGGATCCGGTTCCTTCCCCCGCGACAATTTTCTTTCTTAAGAATTTCCCCGACGAGAGATGGACGAGAGGGAGAAGAGAGACGGCGGAGCGCGGCTTGGAAAATATTTTTCCTCGTGTTCTAAGATTGCGAGCGCTCTCTGAAAGGGCTCGAGATTACAGCGCGGTTTCTTTGATGAGTCAAGCGGAAAAACGCGGTCGGAGAATTCTCTTTGTAACCTTTCCCCACTATTTCCCCCGTGGCCGAGACTAACAGAAACCTTTCAATCAGAACTCTTGATAAGGGGTAATCTCTTGATAAGGAAACGAGTTCCTCTCAATGCATGGAGAATGGAAGGCTAATAAGAACTGTCACTGAATGTTGACAGAGATAATTTAAATTTAGCAGAAAAAATACTCACAGAGTGCCCGACGATGCATATAAATCTCTTGTATACGTTTGGATTGGACGAAACTACGGGAAAAATTCTCCTCTATCATTTTGCGAATAACCGTCAGAAAAACGTCAGATTTTGCGTTATTAATCAACAAAAATTGTGATAAAAGAAGTATTGTAATCACGTACGATGTGGCAGAGCAGCTGTGATTGCGATTCCTGCAGCCGCTTGTGCAATTGTGCAGATTGTATAAAACTAAACTTGCGTCAGTTTTTTATTCAGAGGTTGCCAAAAAAGTCGCTCAAGTTGGCTTTGTTAATAATGATATTAGCAGTTTTCTCAGTTATGATGAGTGCAATAACTTTGCACCGTGATCGTTATGATAGTTTATCGACCGTTTATGACATTCCTCATTGAATTAAAAAAGATGTTTAAAAAAGTGAAACTGAAAAATAAATATTACGGAATTAAGCAGAGATAAATGAGAATAATAGTTAAAGAGATAAATAATACAACATATTTCCTGGTTTCGCATAATTTCTTAATTGCTTTCTTGCGTTGAAAAGTTCAATAGGAATTGGAAATTAGAAAAAACGGTATAAAAATATTTATCATAAAAGTCTTATATATATTATATTCTATTCATGTTTCTATAATACAAAAGATTGCTTCTGCAAAGGTATGAGTCGATCAGAAATGAAGTAGAAATATTGATTGCAACTTAATCGACGACAATTATCAAGCGACATTTTTCTCTATACATCATAGTCTTATATCTTGACGCTTCTTTGATCAACAATAGGGCTTGACAATTGTTGTCGATCAGAAGCGATCTTTTGTAGAAACATGGATGGAACATAGTATATAAGATTTCTAAATATTTCTGTACCGTTCTTTCCAATCTCCAATTCGAACTTTTTAACGCAAGAAAGAAATTAGGAAATTATGTGAAACAAGAAAATATATTATATTACCTATCTTCTTAATTATTTTTCACTCTTTATTTATTACTCTTATCCTACTTAAATCCGTAATGTTTTTTTCTCAGTTTCCCTTTTATAAACATCTTGAACGGTCGATAAACTGTCATAACGATCACGGTGCAAAGCTAATTGCACTCGTCATAACTGAGAGCACTGCAAATATCATTATCAACGAGTGACTTTTTCGGCAACCTCTGTATTATCTTCGAATAGACAGACAACCCGTCAAACTGACCTATATGTTGATGTTACACCCTGTATATGAGAGATTTATACATCATCATCGGACACACCGTAAGTATCTTTTTCTTCATTCTTTCACCAAATTTAGATTATCGCAACGGCACTTGTTGGCTTTTCCTTTTCATTGGTCGCGTACCAGTTAAGAGCCTTCAAGTAGTCCCTTCCTCTCAATAGAGCTTTGTCGAGGAAAACTCGACCGTAGATTAATACGAGAAAACGCGACAACTTGTCCGCAGCACTCGCGCATGTCCGGCCATACGTTTCTCGCGAATATTGTTCCTCGGTGCTCTCTCGGGCCACCCTCGTATTATAACCGCACTCACTGGCCTACCATAATTATCCACGGTCCGTATGGTCCACGGCATATGGTCCAGAACGCCATCTTACTTCCGACAAACCGCTTCTCGGCGTCGAAAAAAGAAAAGAAGAAAAAAAGAACCGGCCATTTGGCCGGCCAGGCACGGATCGAAATTGACTGTTCGCGGGACAAATTAAATTTCGTCCTTCGTCGCTCGTGAAATCGCATCGCTCTGTGACGACGTGGTTGGCAGGCCGGACATTATCCGCCAGGACATTTATTCTCTGCTGCGCTGCGGCGCGGGCAATATATATATATATATATTTCAACGTTCACTGGAAACCGAGAGAACGGAGAAAAAGCACCAAATCGTCTGATAACACGCTCCCCGGTCTTTAATCATTTCAGCATTGATATAATATTAGTATCGCCTGGTCAATTCAATTATATCTATTCAATTATATCTATCAGCTTAGAGGGATCAATTCGACTCGTTATCTAGCGATCAATTTATTGCCAAGCCCGAGAAACCTACTCTGCTCTCAACATTTGCCGGGAAGGAAGAAAGAAAAAAGTCCGCCCGAAATCGCCTAATGACGCGGTTTGCAATCTTTAATCATCTCATTATTTATATATATTAATTACAATCGCGTGTGGCGCCCTTGTTTAATTATCCCTGTCAGCTTTACGGAATTAACTTGACTCATTACCGAGTGATTAATTTATTTGTTACTCCTTCCCTCCCTATTTTCTTTTTATCCCTCCTTCTCTATTCCGCTGCAGACCTCCGTTCTATTTCGATCCCAACTGCGAAATGCGCCGGCGTCCTTTCGCGATTCCTCCGACCGATTGGCCTACTTTCGCGCAGGAGCCGAGAGAGAGAGAGAGAGAGAGAGAGAGAGAGAGAGAGAGAGAGAGAGAGAGAGAGAAAGAGAGAGAGAGAGAGAGGCAGAGAGGGAGAAGACCGAGGAATAATTCGGTCAGGACTGGAACTTCGGGGCACGCACGATCTGCAGAGGGACCATATGCCGAGGCCGAGGATGGAGCGCGCTTCGGGGATCGCAGATAATTACAAGGGATGTTCTCGACCTGGCATCCCGGCCACGCTCGAGGGTGGGGGACACGCACGAAAATCCGGCGGCGGTGGGGGACGCGCGGCTACATAAGGAAGGTCCCGACCCCCGAAGGGTCGCAGTTGCCTCGAAATTTCGAAGCCGGCGTGCTCATGTTCGTCCGTGGCGCGTCCACGCTCGTTGTTCATCATCGACGCGATCGAACGCGAGCCGAGTGAGAGCTTCACTGCTAACGCGGAGTTCCGACAACGCGAGTTGGCTTTTGTCCTTGCCTTGCCGGACATTTTCTTCTCCCTTCTTGTGGTGACGTACGCGAGAACGTAGTCGAGGACTCGAACAGCCGAACTCTCAACCCTCATGGAGACCGCGTGGTTGATCTTCGCGACGATATGCGCCGCGAGCTGCTCGCTGGTGGTCAGTTTCGACCTCGGACCGATGATCTGGACCGCCCAGTGCCAATCCGAGTGCTTGCGACAGTTTAGCAAGAAGGAGGAGTTCCGCAAGATAAGGATGTGGAGGAGCAAGGACAAGGACTTTCACGAGGTAGTTGGAACTGCCGTCTCGCGCGAGCAAAGTGGCGATTCAAGTGGCGGGTTATTCGTGGGGTTCTCGCGAATCGAGAGCGGCGAATGGGTGAGAATTGCCGGAGCGAGTGTCTGATTCTTACAATCTACGCCGACGATTTGCGAAGCTTCGAAGGAGGGACGAGAGATCGCGACGCGGACTGATCGAGTCGATGTTCGTCAACGGAGTCGAAATTCATTGCATAGCGCGACCTGCGGATATTTTAATTTTCAGATTTTTATAAAACTAAAGTAACAATGCACAGATGCAGTCGCAATGCTGCTCACTGTGATAATCGATAAAATGGCGGATAAAATTAATTAACATATAATTTTATATGTTATATTCACTTGTCGATATTTCAGTTATCAATATTTCAGTTATCAATATGTTTGTATATCTAAATTTTATCTTCTCTTTAATGTTTTGTCTTTTACTTTTTCATTCGTTTCTCTCGTTTTTGTTTTCGGTCCCGGGAAAAGCGATAGCTTTGTGAAAATATTCCCACAGATACAAAAGCGACACGTGAAATACTCATGGGACAAGTTTGCCGTGCTATGTTGGATATTATCTGTTTTCCGAAAATCGGCGGAACTGGACCTCGCTCTCCGGAATTTCTGGACCATTTCGCATTGTTATCTTGTCCTGCCTTTCCTCTTTTGACCTATTCATACACATCATGTCCTCGTCAACGAACAGAACGGCCGACAGAAAGCGATTGCGCGTGCTTTCTTCGTCAGAATGGAGCACGCGTGTCACGGCCGATCGGCCGGAAATCGACGTGCCGATAAATCTCCGGTCGTCGCTTTTATTATGGGGCGCCATGGAAAATCATGTCGCAGTACCACCTCGTCGATTCTCTGAGATAAATAGAGAGAGAGAGAGAGAGAAAGAGAGAGAGAGAGAGAGAGAGAGAGAGAGAGAGAGAGAGAGAGAGAGAGAGAGAGAGAGAGAGAGAGAGAGAGAGAGAGAGAGAATGAGTGAGACACGTCGCGCGGGAACAGATGGGAATCGCGATTAAGTCGAGGCACAATGCGCGTCGCGAGGGCGTTGCTCGCTCGCTCGGACGGGGGTGTCCATTAATTTCGGGGAGATCGATTCCGCGCGGCAAGACGCGAACTGGGGAGCGAGAGGGCCCACCCAGACGCGACGAGCCGTTCGAATTTACGCCCGGGCCTCGTGTGACGAATGTTGCCCCACGCAAGGGGGCCCCCTTCGGTTCCGCGCATTAGAATAACGACTCTTCGAGAGGGCGGGTGTGGCTTAACGAACTTAACGCCGTGCGGCATGGTCCCCCTTCTTCCCCCCATATTTCTCATCGCGCTCTCTCTCTCTCTCTCTCTCTCTCTCCCCCCTTCCTTCTCCACTTCATCCCTCTTCGCGGAGAAAAGACCGATCCGCGCGTCGATAACGATGATTTCATCCGAGAATGAGGGGACATTATAGAGCCCTTTTGCAGCCCAAGTAATTGTTTTAATCCCAAGGGAGGGGGAGGCAATAGCTTCCGCATCGGCTGCTCGTCGGATCAGGATGGGAACGTGAGAGGGAGAGTTTGCACGCGTACGGTTTTCCGTATTTTCTCGCAAAAACTGAGTGAGTTTGATGTATAATCGACGATGAGCATCGCGACGGACGACGAGAAGAGAGAAAGAGAAAGGGAGATCAGCTTTCCATGAGTTTTCCCAGCTCGTCGATCCTCACGCTATTAGTGAATCCCGGTTCTTCGAAAGAAAGATACCCTGAACGCGACACCGTCTCTTTCCTCGCTCGTTTATTTCACTTTACGATGCGCGACCCTACCGTCAGCCTCTCTGTCTCTCTGTCTCTCCGTCGGTCGGTCGGTCGGTCGGTCGGTCGGTCGGTCGGTCGGTCGGTCGGTCGGTCGGTCGGTCGGTCGGTCGGTCGCAGTACAGACCAGTCATTGATTCCCAGAGGACAGAGTGGCGCGTTTGCTTTACGACCCCGACCGATCGTAACTCGATAACGGGGACGATCGTCGACTGATACTGAATCGAGACGAGATCGGGACGGGTGCACCCGACTCCAAGGATCCGAAGAATTCACTGGCGCCGTCGCTGAAAATTTACCTGTTGCCATGCGTGGCGTGTCGCGAGACGTATTGTATTTTTTTTTTTGAGCAGCAGACGATCGAGAAATTTGCACATGCACGAATAGAATAATAAGCTATTGATTGGTAATCTAACGACAATTATGGTGACATTGATTGAAACATTAAAATAAATTCACAACGCTGATCATTTAATTGATAATTTCTTTAATTATTTTGTGTGCGGCTGAATATTCAGTTAATGAATTAAAATTTGATTAATAAGCGCTCATTTTTTTCAATTGCAACGTGCACATAAATATGCTATATATACACACGTGTGTGCGATAAATAATATATTTACGTGTTGAATAATTTAAAACGTCTTAGTGTGTACGAAACGACACGCTTGTTGCACGTGAAGAGCATTTCGTCGCGAAAACTAAACGAATCTTTTTAATCGGCCATGAATATCACGACGGACAACAAGGAGAGATTACGCGTACCTGCCGCGAGAAGTTTTCTCCGCCGAATTTCCCCGGCTCCTCGAGCCGTCCTAAGTCAAGTCGTTACCGCGCAACAATGCGTCTATCATCGCGTGTTATAAGTCGGGACCGCATAGTGTGCGAGATTACAACGGAATTTTTGCACTACTCCACGAAATAGCAAAACAAGAATGGAGAAAATCACTCGCAGGATAAATGAAGCTTCAGCGAACAAACGAAACGGAGAAGTACACCCCTCGAGAGATCGACTTTCTTTCGGCGCCGAGAGAAAGAACCCGACCGCTGGGACGTCTCTCTGAAAGTGTCATTAGCGGAGGACCGCGTCGTTTCTACGAAGAGAGAGAATCCGCCTTAGAGAGAGTACACGGCGAAGAAGGGTAATCAGGGATCAAAAGGGGAAAGAGAAAGAGCGAGAGAGAGAGAGAGAGAGAGAGAGAGAGAGAGAGAGAGAGAGAGAGAGAGAGAGAGAGAGGGAGAGAGAGAGAGAGAGAGAGAGAGAAAGGGAGGCAAAGAAAGAGAGAGAAAGAGAAAGAACGGGTCCGTGAGCAGAACGGGAGACGAGGAGATAAAAAGAGAGGGAGGGAATTAGGGGAAAAGAGAGAGAGAGAGAGAGAGAGACCGCGAGAAAAAAGGGGGGAAAAAGAATTTAGGAACAGGGCCCCACCGAGTCGAGGGTACCCCAATAAATATGAAGACAACAACGACGGTGCCTGTTATGCCTGGAACAGGTTGGAGCTAATTCAGTCCCCCTCTTTCTCCATCTCCTCCTCCACCCCTTCTCTGCTCCCCTCTGCCGGCGGTTCCACCTTCTTCACGGCGTTTCGCCCTCTTCTTCCTCCCGCGCCTCTTTTCTTCGTGATCGGTTAAATCGCTCGATTCAACAGTTTGCCCGATGTGCTTCGCTTATTCTTCCCCTCCGCTCGCCCCTCCGCATCAAACACCCTCCCGTCCTCCTAACCACCGCTGTCCCGCCAGTCTCCCTTTCGCCACCCTTTCGCCGCTGGTAGTCCCTCTCTCTTTCTTGCCGTGCGTGCAAGAGAGCTTTTTGTTCGTCGCTGAGTCTCCCCTCATCTGACTCGTCTTTTTTTCTTTTTTTTTTTACGCTGTTGCAGTGCGTCAGGTATTGCGCGCAGTGCCACATCGGGCAAGACCGGGCAAGAAGGGAATGCTGGCAGGACAGCGCGCTGAAACGCATTTTGAAGCGTTTCCCTCAGGACGTAAGTATAAACTCGAGAGGAGAGAAAGGGAGCGTCTACGTCACCGCGCGTCTTATGCTACTTCAAACGAATCGGCAGATCGTTCCTTCGGATGCTTGTATCGCCTCTGGTCATTCGTTTCGGTGCCCTAAAACGAGATTCTTGCGGCGCGAGACTCGTCTTTTTTTCCCCCTTCAGCTGAAGCATTTCCGAAAGTATAGACTATGCAAATACTTTGTTTCTTGTTATCTACTTTGAACGTTAGTCTCAATTTCGATAAACGGTAAAAATTTCGATAAAGTAAAATAAATCAATCAATCAATTGTGCAATAACACGAAGGCAGAGTTGGAAGGTTACTTTTGGAAAGCAAATCGTTAGGTTGGATTTTCACTATTCGCTCAGACGGCGACAGACAGGACTCCGTCAAACCTCCGTCAAAACATCTCTCAGTGCTTCTCCATCGGAGAATACTCACAGTATCTGTCACCACCACATCTCAGTCATCTCTATTCAAAAGAAAAATTTAACGAAAGATTAACGGGCTTGTGTCTGTCGCCGTCTAGGCGAATAATGAAAGCCCAGCCTTACTCGTTGCTCGATAGAGGTAACGAGTCGTCGCGATATCCATTACTTTGTTCAGCAAATTTCGAACATCCTTCTTTACGATTCGCTGCAGCTCATTTCGTGCAAATATATTCTACATACACAAAGCGACGATTATATTGCTTACCGTTAATAATAATACAAAAAATGTAGTTGCCATTACATTTTTTTGACGATGAAAGTAATACAGTTTTTGTCCATTTTACATTTTCGTTAAAAATAACGGCGTTATCGAGTCGTTACTGTAAAAGGTAGCTTGTAACGGGAACGACGGTGCAAGTAACGCGTAACTTCCCAATCTTACATAAAGAGCACCCTTTTTTACTGATTACGATTGACTTCCCTATGCGTACACATTATGCAACTATGCAAGCTTGTCTGGAAAAGTCTCGCTATTTTTACTGACACCCAACTCGAAACGCGAAAACTGAGAACTAGACTATGCCGTAACAGTAGACGGGGACGGAGGTGGACTCTCTCGATTTCCGTGTAACAATCTAGACCGATTGTAACGACGTTACGCAGGATAAGTGGCTTTCGTGTGTTTTCAAGCGCGACGGTAGCCCCGCGCGATATGTTCTCAAATATTTGAAGGACGATTCCTATCTTTATGTCGGAGCGAGCGCGTTTTCCACGCGACTCGACTATTCGGTATTCCGAAAAGATCGACAGGTAGTCCTTTTTCCAAGGATCTCCGCTCGGGGTTCCTTCTTTCTACGAGAGACCGTTCTCTCCTTTCTTGTTCAGCGTCGCACAATCCGGAATTATCCCCGTAGACAGACGCGAAAGAGGGAGAAAGCAAAAGAGGGATAGATAGGTAGATAGAAAAATCTTCCTTGCGCTTGATCGACTAGCACTTTCAGCTTGTCCCGAATTAACGGCAGACTTAGGATATCGAGCAGGATCGTACCTGATCGCTCGAAAAAGATCGGATGTATGAGACAACCAAACGTCTGGAACTTTGCGCGAATTCACGAATCTCGCGGAAAAAATCCTCGCACGAACTCGAGTTTCTCGTCAAACAAGACAAGTTACCAGCACACCTTAAACGAATAGAAAACATGAGCAATAAAATTTAAACAGCATATAAATAGACCTATCGCATTCAAGAATTATCGAGAATGTAAAATTATTGTGTTGAAATTCTCAAGTGCGATTGGATTTTTTACTTACTGCTTGTCTTGCTTACGCTTTCTTGCACGGAAGAAAAATATAAAAATGACTGTGCTAATTCTAATTTGATAGTCGTGGATCAAATTAATCCAAGAGTATTAAACCTCGATAATTACTGAATCTTGGATTATTGCACGTATAAAAACATAGAATTCTTTTCTTAAAGCATACAAAATTATTTACGTCTTTCTGCGTAAAATCGATATACTATTTTTTTCTGTGCTTGAAATTATTTATTTTAAATATAATGATCGCGGAAAATTTTTTAAATTTTTTGGTGCATTCAGAACCAATATTTGTAGATTAGATAAATATATTCACAGATATTGTATATATATATATTTTTTTACTTGTATGTTATATAAAAGACATTTATAAGTATTTAAGTAAGTTACATCACAGTTATATCAGAAAAAATGATTAAGTCTCTTACAGATCCAGTGTGCCAATCCAAGTAGCAAAAAAAGTATGCCAACAAAGGGTTAGATCTCGGGGGAAGGGGGGAGTTAAGATAACTAAGAACAAAAAAAATTGACTGGGTAGATATCTCCTATAGGAATCTTTTTGTTCCTACAACCAAGTTTTCCAACTGGTTCCTGTGCTTCTCAGACAATGGAGAATTCAATTACACCAACAGAATTCCGAGAGTGTGTGCGTGCTTAAGAGAACTCGAACTTTTAAAACGATCTAATATGCGCCTTCGTTCTTTCTCCTGCCTCCCTTTTTAATGCAGTACTCTACGACAAGCGTATCTATTCCATACTCCTCGCTCGCGCCAAGTCCTAATCGCGTCTTCCATATCTTTACAGACATCACTAGCCCGGAAGATCGCCTGTGAATATTGCAACACACGAGAGCTCACAGAAAACTATGAGCCGTCGATGCTGCCAGCGCCGGAGGACAAACCGATCCCGATGGGCCTGTACGACGTGGCCATCATATTCAAGAGACAACAACAACGCTGGCAGTTCCACGAGTTCTACTACGACAGGATTCCAATCGACAAGGTATACCCGTGTCATTGGATCATCGTCGTCACGGAAGACGGTCCACGTCACTACATCTGGGAACGGTGGGTACCAAGCTTGGACTCGCTCAAGGAGGGTCCGCTGTTCGAGGCGACCATCTCGTGGCGGAACGTGCGCCAACAGCTGGAACTCCAACGGAAACTCGAGGGGATTGGCATCGCCAATGACCACCGGCACCATCTACAGCTGTCCAGTGAGAAAGTGCTGGCGATGAGCCACCGCGGCGACGTGCTGCCGCGACTCCAAGAGCTTTTCTGGAAGCCGGAGTTGTTCAACAAACACCCTAGGAGCTGCCACTTCGAGCATGACGACAGCAGCAACAAGTCGCTCGTGGTCACTTGGGGCCCAGAGACCGGCGGCCTCACCGGCAACCAGGTGACCGACGGCGACTCGGCGCAGATATCCTTGCTGCCCGGCTTCAAATATCACGTCAGGGTCGCGTCCAACGACGGCCCCGGTAGCTTCCCCATCGTCGTCGACACCCGGACCGTCGGAAACTCCTCTTCGTCGTCTTCGTCTCCGTCTCCGTCTCCGTCTTCGTCTTCGTCTTCGTCTTCGTCTTCGTCTTCATCTCCGTCTCCGTCTCCGTCTCCCTCCGTCTGCGACCTTACTTGCAGCGTAAAACAGATTGCCCAGACTGGCTGGAAATATGTTCTCATCCTCTTCACCGTGACGTTTCTAATGTACTGCTATATCCTGCTGGACGCATTTTTCATGAAGAAGTCCACACAAACGTGGGAGAAGGCGTAAGCGATTACGCTAGGATCGAAGGACCACTCAGGACCCTCGCTTTCATGGCGAGAACCACCGACTACTCAGGGATATACCTTGCCGTTGCCTCCGGCGACACGACGGACAGTCACTTTCGGCGGCGAGCGAGGAGCACGGAAAGCACTTGTCCATCTAGCGCGAGTACGATCTTCGGAGATGTACCGTTATATCTTGGAATAAATCCCGCGGTTTCGAAATTGGTTCCTCGAACTCTTCGGAAGAACGCTTCGAGAGGAGATCGCGAGACACTACGAAGGATATTCGCGGGGAATCGAAGAAGGGGAAAAAAGAAGAAGAGAGAGGGAGAGAGGAAGAATACGTGAAACGACTGAAGAATTGTGATTCAAAGATAGGAGAGACGAGTCGTGCGATCTTCAGACATTTGTAACCTAAAAATACGAGTTTCTCCGCCTTTGTACAAAGAGAAGACGCCGCATCTCCGCCGTGTCTCGAGACTAATAACGATACGTGACATTTCAACGGCCGACGTTAATGTTACTAGATTGTTTGATACTATTTTTATAACAAATCAAAAGCAACCGCTCGTCGCACGAATGTCAGACAGTCCGGGTGTTGTTACGGAATTTGGACGGAAGCTTAACGATCAGTAGGGTTCGTAGCCGGTGTTGAGGTTTAAAGGGCTTGAGACGAAGCGGTAAAAATGTCAACGAGAGTTGACACAATAGCTGCAACGCGTATTCACGCGACAATAGTCGCGATAACAATGCCCGTGGCGTGCGTTTCAACGCGTTGTATGCGATGCATTGCCTCACGGCCTTCGTGTTCGAAGGAGAAGCAAATGCCCCTTTTCGCCCTCATGCTGGCTGCGCGGCTCCGGATAGGGCAAATACGAGAAATGGTAGCATTTTAGCCGAAGTTGTACAGGTTCTCGGATGATATTTTTCTACGTGAGGAAGACGGAGAACGCGAAAAGCACACGGACTAGAACCACCATTCTTGCTCAATGCGCAACAAACAGACTGTACAAGAGTTCCTATCACCGAAGAATCGGCAGCAACGAGCGCGTGTTGCGCACTGTATTTATTTGTAAATAGTTACAATGTAGTCTGTAAATAGTTAGCGAAATAAATGTAAGTCGAAAGCCGCTAACGACAGCGTCGTCTTATTCTACTCTCGCCTCCCCTCTCCAATCTATATGATTCCTAATTTCTGCTTTTGATTTACATAACAGCGTACTATAAACCGAATTACTGTGCTCTGAAACTTTTATATATTCATATATATTGATATATATATATATATGATATATATATATATATATATATATATTGATATATATTTTTTTATTCCATTCGCGCAATCTTGGATAAAAAATATTCGTTTATTTATATGTATTTTTATATTTTTACGTATGCATATATATTCATATGTGTTTTATATATTTATTTTATTCCACCCGAGCTCTGATAAAAAACTCATCCATAACAACAGGGAATTTTAACGAGCAAGAGAAAAGGGCAAACGGTGCCGGAGGACATAAAATATATTCTTTTCTACTCTATAACTTCTCCTTCTCTTCCTCCTTCCCTCTCTCTCTCTCTCTCTCTCTCTCTCTCTCTCTTTCTCTTCTTGGTTCTTCTTTTTCGCCACCATCTTGTCGCCGTGAAAGACCCCGAAGTGCGTTGAACCCTGCTGCGCGGATGACGCGCTCACCGTGAGTCGACGAAAAAGTCGGCGGGGAGCTGTACCAGGCGCACGAACGAACGCACGCATACGTGTGTGTGTGCACACACAAACGGTGAAAAGTGTGCCGTGGCCTCGAACAAGGTCCCGTTATCCTAGGCTTCGCCTTGAACGTCTTCGTTCTCCAGTCTTGACTCAGGAGTCAAGCGAAGATGATACCGCTGCTACTCGCCTGCTGCCTCGGCTTCCTCGTCGCTCCTTACCAGCTCACACCGTCGGCGAACAATGGCCTAATCGGCGTCGGGGCGGTCTCGATGGTGACCGTCGGATTCGCAGCCGGACCCAGGTACGGTCGTAAATCGCCGCAGGTTATCGAGTGTATCGATGTTGAGAGAAAGAAAAAGAGAGAAATTCCTCGCGATTAAGATGTCCCCCGAGAAGGATCGATCGCGACTGACATTTGGCGGCTTCGCGCGATCTTATCGTCTTAGACGCGTTAGCCATCTATGAATTTTGAATGTCGGCACTTTAGTAAGATTCGTTATTCAGATACGTCCCGAAATGGAAGAAGCAGGCGTGCGAAATTCCGGCGTCCCAGCACCCGAATTCGCATTATATCTGCGACGAGGCCGGTGAAGTAAAATGTTTGTCAGGTAAGAATTTCAAATATACTACAAATTCCTCACCAAAGAAAACGTACAATCGCGAGGAAGTAATTTCACAAACAAATCCGCTTTCAAGAGCGAATGATTCTCGCGAGAAAATAAAATTAAACAATTTCGCGTGTAAATTTTATCTCATCGCGTAGACATTAATTTATCATTAAACTAATAAGGCACTAGCAGGATCACGTGAGTATCCTAAAAATATTAAACGGCACAACTTAGAGAAAATATTAAGATATACACAAGATGTCTTCGAGGGACAAGGGCGCAGTAACGAAGCATTATTCGCGTGTAGGGTGGACCGGAGATCTCTGCGACGTACCGATTTGCCGAAAGGGTTGCGACCCTCTTCAGGGCTACTGCCGACGTCCCGGAGAATGCCGCTGCAAACTGGGCTTTTACGGTGAACTGTGCGACAAGTGCGTGGCCTTGCCAGGCTGTCAGCACGGAAGGTATGATTGATTGATATGCAATAATACAATGTGGAGAAAGCGCAGTTTGACACGCATACGAATTTTTCATCGGAACGCATAATTGTAGGGAACGTCCTCAAATACGAATGCAATCTCGCGAGAGAAAAAGACTAAAATAATTTTCTATAAATTTTAAACCGCATGCGCGTCTCGTGCAAATTTATTTAATATATTATTAAATTATCGAAAGATAACGCTATTAAAGTTGACTAAATTTACAATTAAAACTTGATATATAAAGCGAATAATGCCTCATTATAAATATTATTGCCAATAATAACTTTGAAAATTTTTATTCTTTATTTTTTCTCTCGTGTTATCTTCCCAATTTTTAGCGTATAACTTTAATATTTCTCTTCCTAATTATATCTTGTTAATTATCGGTTGATATTTAAAAAATTGCATTTCCTTTATTTCGAGTCATTATCGAGATTTTCTGTCGTACTTTATCAATTTTCCAAATTATAAGGAATATATTTTAATACAATTGTTAATCATCATTGTTGATATACCGTCTTGAAAAATTTTTTCGCGTCGTCTTTTAAATTTTATATCGTATACCTTATTTTTTATAATATTTTCCTCAAACATATTTTAATATTCTATCTAAATCTCCGAGATGTTTTATTTCCCGTTTAAAAATGCTCTATTAATCTTCATCTTCATTAATACTTCATTAATACAACGACTGAAAAAAAATTCTATTCCGTACTTTTTTCTCGCGTTGCCATTTAAAGTCTGTACCATGCAATTGTTCTCAAACAAAAATTAAAAATTAAAAAAATTCTAAAGAATTTTAATATTCCGCCGCTCTCTTTTCATTTTGCCCACGTTTGTTACGAAATGCAGAAAAGTCAACGGCCACGGCCAATCTTTCGCTAATTTCTCTCGCGCGGTTAATAACCTGATAAGGACTAAAAGCACCTACACGCAGCGGCAGCGATGCGATTTATCGCACCGTGTCCGTATACTCTCGTAAAATCAATTCGACGGCAAACAACGGGTTCGCGGGTCGATCGGGTCGACTTTGCTTTCACCTCGGGCGATTCGGCTGGCGAACGAGCGAGCGAACGAACGAACAAGCGAGCCTAATTTCCGCATAACACGAAATACTTCCGCGCGCGCGGCTTTTTCGCGACCGCGGATCGGTAAAGTGACCGCGAGTCGTTGGACAAGTCGATCGACACACTTGATATGCGAGCGCGATTCTTGCTTTCAGGTGCAACGTGAGCTTCGAATGTTCCTGCGATCCCGGCTGGAAAGGCGTGTTTTGCTCCGAACCGATCTGCGCGCCCGATTGCCTATCCAGCCAGGGCTATTGCGAGAAACCGGGCGAATGCAGGTAATCATTTGCTTATCTCTTTATTGCGCGCCTTTTTCTCCGTGCATTAAGTTGACGCAAAATGCTCGTCAATTTTGCCAACGGAATCCAACACGAAATTACGTATCACATGCTTTCCAGTAATTCTTTCTCTTAAACTATTTATATAATCAACGTATCTCTCGCACATAGTATAACTTTCATTTTATCTAGAGAAAAAAATGAAATTCAACATCTCACGTTTAAGAAGCCCCGCTTTATTATTTATTTATTTCGCTTGATTTTATTTTACTATACCAAAAATTTGATTTACATTTTATCTTAAGCTTCGAAAGCTTGAATTTACTTTTTTATTTTACTCTGAATCTTCAATTTACTTCAATTATCATTTTAAAATCAAAATTAAAATTTACATGTATGAAACTTCATTTGAAACAGAAATTAACAGAAAAACTTGTTACACCAACTGATGCCGCACGGATATTGTCTCTCTTTTTCAATGTCATATTTCCTGTTAAATTACCTCAGTCATTCTTAGTTAAATTCTTGGAATACAACGTATAAATCGCTGACTGCGATCTCCGGACACAGACTCGTCGGAAAATCAGAGCCTAACGTGTTTTTTTCTTTCAGATGTCGCCTGGGGTGGCAGGGCCCCAAGTGCAAACAGTGCGCTGTGTTGCCGGGATGCGCGCATGGGACCTGTCAAGGACCCTTAGAGTGTCGATGTGATCCGGGGTGGACCGGGCTGCTTTGTCAAACACGTGAGTGTTACACCCCGCCTCCCTCCCTCCCTCCATGCCCCTCTGACAAGCAAACAGGAACCGAAACCTCTTCAAACCGAGCGGCCGAACGACCGAGCAACCCTCTCTAAAATAAACGGAAACGTGACGTGACCAACAGCGCACGATCCCGGCGACGAAACGCAACGCGCGACGGTCGTCCTATTTTTCTTCCACTCGCGGACTGAAACGGAATCCCATCCTGAGCATCCACAAGCACTCGTCACGCGGCCCGACTCTTTGACAACGTACTAAAAAGAAAATATACAACGCACGAGACTCGTCCGAGGACGCGCTCTGCTTCGAAGTCGCGCGTGTCTGCCGATCGCCGGAAATAGATCTCGCTTTCCGATTCTAAAACAACACGCGCGGCAAAGCAGATAGACGCGGCCATTGCATTTATATTTAACCCCACGAATTTAGGAAGCGATAGGATCGTGTACACGTATTTTTTAATGAAAAGGGATATTATATACGACCAGCAACGTTTAATTATATATAAGATGTCTCACTTCTACAGCATTATTTGTTAAAAACATTCTTTGACGCACTTAGAGTCGCATTTTTTGGAAGGAAAATTTCGAGGTACTCGTCATTTTTTACTTAAAAGCCATTGAAAAAGATCTTCTTGCAGGAATTCCAATGGATACCAAATTATGCTCCTCAGCTAATCCAGATTAATTTAATTCTAATTCAGACTTCAGATGAAAAGTTTACCTCGCTCAAATTTTGATTTAAAACTCAATTGCAAAGCCACATAATGTTACCGCGTATTTTTGTCCAACGTTCAAGAATCGGACGACAGCAAAGTGATGCGAGCAAAAATTGGACAAACGATTACCTTCCTCGACATTTTCGTCAAGAAAAAGCCGACTTTCAATCATCCGAAGAATTCGCAATGAAAATGTGTTACTACGTAAGATCCAAGAAAATCCGCGTCTAAAGTGATGCGGTAGACACGAGACACCCTGTATAGACGGTCAAAGAACCACTGGTAATGGAAACAGCGGTCACTCACCGGCGAGTTCGTCCCGAGTTACCAATCGGAATTCAATCGCGAATTGATTTCCCGATTCGAACGCGCAGAAACGCGCATCCGCTTCATCCGCTTCTCACCGCGAATTACAGCGATTTGCGCGCAAGGATGCAGCCGGGAACACGGCGGTTGCCGGCGCCCGGGCACATGCAGATGCCGCGTCGGCTGGACCGGTCCCAATTGCACCGAGTGCGTCCCATATCCCGGATGCGTGCACGGCTCGTGCAAACGACCGTGGGAGTGCCGTTGCGAGCCCGGCTGGGCCGGCGATCTGTGCAGCGAAAAACTGACCTACTGCGACCAGCACCCCGGTGTCTGTCAGAACAACGCGACCTGCATCAGCATGACCCACGAGGACGGTAATTACAGGTGAGACCGTGGACGGGCCGAGATTCGATCGCGACTCGGGGCCCGTTTAAGTGAAACGGAAGCGAAACGCGAGCTGCGAAATGTATCGGCCGCGACGTCGCAACTTCGTCGATCTGCCCGTTTTCCTTCTACGTTTTAAGGAAACATTAATGAGACTCCGTGCTCGATAAAATCTCCAGTAAATTAAGCCCCTGAGTTAAACCTCAAGTTAATACTTTAACCCTTTGCTGCATACACATGTGTATAGTGGTCCTCCCAGAGTGTCACCTATCATCCGAGTTTGTTTTTCCAATAATTCCAATTGGTCACATATTTATTTAGCATATTTCGTATTGTTGGGCTACTAAAATGTTCTTTCAACTAATACATCAACTTTTAGAATCATTTCAAATAAGTTTAATTTCTTATTAAGCATATACTTTAAGCATTTATTATTAAGCATACACTGAACACAAAACTGTCGTTTTCAGAGAATAAATTTGTTTACCTGAAATTTTAAGTAATAACTTTAAAAATATTTTAAAATTGTTATCTAGGGGTTTTTGGGGTCGCTGAATATGAATCCGGTGTGAAAAATACAAAATTCAAATTAACGGATCTCATATGGCGAATATAATTATAGAAATGAAACAAGCTGACTGCACTTGAAAACTGGGCAACCTGACCAGTGTCAACCGAACCTTGCCGTGTATATCTGTCTTCATCATAGCTCTGGCATTTAAAATTCTCGATAACGAATTTGTAATTAGCAACCTCGAAACCTCTTAACTAATAAATTTCAAGTGAATTCGGCTGATTTTGAAAATCTCGTCCGTCATATTGAATCTGCCATTTTGAATTTCGTATTTTTCACACCGGATTTATATTCAGCGACTCTAAAAACCCTCGAGTAATAAGTTCCACAAAATTATATTCATTAGAAAAAAACGTGCAACAAAGGGTTAATACATAAAATTTCAGATTATACGTAAATTAAAAATCTGAGATTTTTACGTTCGTGTATTGAGGTGGATGTTAAGTGTTTGGTAATAATTTGGTAATAGAATGGCATAGCGAGAGCCGCTTGAAATGAGATGAAAGATAAGATTCATTTGATTTGAAATATTCGGAAATTATGAGCAATCGAATTAAAATACGCTGCGCGATACATGACCTCTTTATCTCGCGTCGATCGATGATTTATGATCGCTTCTGGATTAGATTCTTACTGGAGAAAGTAAAGCAGGAAGAATAGAACAAAGTCGACTGCCATTGTATCTCCGCGCGGTTATATAAAATGAAATATATACAGAGCTAGTTAAACGATCGGTCGATATAAAGTGGACCGTAAACTGCTTCGTAAGTAACAAGATTATCGAATACTCCACACGTAATCTATGAAACATTTAATATTTACTTTCATAGTTGAAAAGTATATAAGACCGTACATAATAACAGATTGCCCGCGGCGGTAAAATATTGCTCGCTAAATGTCTATAAAATTTTCCGTGATTAGACAGAGAAAGTTACGCATCACGTAACCATAATTAGTTTTTCACAAAAAGGCGCCATAATTAATCCCTCGCAAAAATCAAACTTCATCCTTTTCGTTGCCACTACTCTTCTTCTTAGCCCGACTAAAATCCAAAGAGGAGTATAACGATAAGAGAATAAAAAGAATCAAATCTGATGATCTTCACGAGAAATTAATCACGGCGCTTGATTGAAAAATATCAAGTTAAACACATTGTGACTTTTACGACGACATTACTACGAATGCGCACATTTTTCCGCGTCAGATGCATCTGTCCGTTGGGGTACATGGGACGACAGTGCCAAATAAAGACGACGGTGCCGTCGACGGAGCTGGTACCGCCAATGCCCGACACCGACAGTGACGTGGGGCTTTCGCAGGAGGCGCAGGACCTCGTGGACAAGCCGAGTATCGAGGAGGCGTCGAACGAGGACAAGAAGGGACCCGGAAAGGAGGAGGAAGTGACCGTGGAGCCGCTCGGGCCCATCGTTATCACGGACCCACCGACCACCGTGGATCCCGCAGCGACCGCGGGAAAATGGCCAACAGAATCGGCCACGGGAACGCCCGAGAGAGACGACGAGAACGAGACATAAAACGGCGCCGACGAGGCAGCCCCTGCCAACATGAATTTATTCATTTCTTTCAGTTGTTTATTTATTTATTTATTTATTTTTTTTTGCATCAGACCTGTGTGGACATGATGGTTTCACCTGTTACATATTTACGCGTCCTTTATCGCGAAAATTGTATTGTTGTAGAATGAAATAGGATAAAATGTCCTGTAATCGGTATTCCATCAGTTTTCAACACTCTTACGACGATTTTATCAAACGCTCAAGATATTAAAAAATAAATTTATTTGTAGATAAGTTTATTATTACCGTATTATATTATGTATAATATATAATATATAATTAATAATTGATATAAATCTCCATACATCCCCCCTTATTAATATTGGATAAGATTCGCGCAAGAGTGAACTGGCAGAATGCCGGTTATTTGACATTTTATCCCGCGTTTTTCTATGAAACCATGACAGCTATCGGATTTAATGATAGTTTACGCACGTGTGCAATTAGAGTACACCAAATTCTTCAAACGCGATTCCACGTAATGAAAAGTATTCGCCTCTCCAATCTTTCTTACTAACTTTCATCGTTAATGGAATGTGCAATAAAGTAGCGGGGATATAAACAGACTTTCATGCAATTATTTCTCTCCCAGGACTTCATCCTAACAAGAAACTGAGTTTCAAAACTGGATTGAACACTTTTTTTTCCAATGCAATTCGGAATACAGCAGGTGTCCGATGAGAGAATTTAATTTCTGGGAATTTTTCGGAAACAAATTCTCTCGTTGGCCCATCGAATGCGCTCCGAACTGCATCCAAAATAAAAAAAAAAAAAACAAACACGTTAAAACCGCTTTGAAGTCCAGCGTACAAAGTATACATCTCTGTTGAAACGCGCATTTTTCAGCTCAGTCACGAGACACCCAGAGAGGTCACAACGTCAAACGTTCCACAACACTTTATGTCGGTATAGATTCGAATTTAGCGATTATTCCCGGGCGAGCGATCAATTCCGCCGTCATCCGGGACGCATTTCTCGTTCTCGTATCGCCGCGAACGCGACAGCCATTGTGTGTGGGCGAGCGGAGATCCTGGATCGCGAGTAGGTAGGATCGCATTTTCGAGAAAGCGGCAGTCCCCGCCGGACCAGCCGCGTGTGTATGTACCCAATTATTGGTGGGACGTGTAAGCGGCGTAACGTATGTACGTACATACTGTACCCTCGGGTATAACCGCGAGAGAGACGCGGGCCCGCGCCTAGATACATAAAACAGTCGCGCGCGCGAGAGCGAAGTCACGCTCCAATGATCGCGATCGCGTTCGCGCCGCGATCGATCGTTCCTCACCGCGTGCATGTGCCGTTTTCACGGGTACGCCGCCGCCGTCCGGCTTCCCACATATAATCGAGCACAACGAGCGAGCAGTTACACGCTCGCTTACGTAACACGACGACTGCATTTCGCAGCCCTCGACTCGCGCGAAGGGACTCCCGCTAAGAATGTGGGAAACGTCGCGATCGAGGATCGCGATGTACGCCAACTCGCGCAGAAGGGTAGGATTGCATCCTACCGTGTTCATTTGAACGGAAACGAGGACATAGCCGAGGATCAATACTAAGAGCCACTAAGCTGATAACTCAAATTCATGACTTTTATGAAGAATTAGCAATAATAAATTAAGCGCCCTCCTGCTCTAATTGCGGTGACATATACATCTAAAAGTTTGTGCTGACAAATGTTTATCGAGGAAAAAGAGAGCGAGATTAGGATACTGAGAATGTTAAAGATGAAAGTTAAATATTAAAGATGTAATAAAATATATATCACCCCCCCCACACACGCGCACACAATTATACGTATGATAAATTATGTTGAGAGAAATAATAATTCAATCGTATGTTCATTGTTTCCTTTCAATGTATAATTTTATCATATTTTTCAGTGTTTTTGTTATATGACAGAATATAATGGCATTCATTACGCAACACAAACTGACGCAGATTCCATATAAAAATTGCGACAGTTCACGTTAATGTTGCTCGATCGGAAATGACCGACTATTCGCTAAACCCCCGAGTCGAATCAACTCTCTATTCTTCTCTTTTTCCTGCATTTTACAGTGACGCTTAATAAGCGTTTATTTATAGCGCGAGATAACGAACGGATCTCGAAGTTTACGTTCGACGGCATTGCATCACATTGTACAGGGAGTTCTAACGATGAAAGACATCGACGGAACACATCTCATGCGTGCGAACTTTTCAATCTATCCAAACTCGAGTTTTAAAGACATCCGAATTAAAAAAACATTGCATTCATCGCAATTTCATCGTACCTAATATCTCCGTATAATCCTCATCGCAGAATACATTTGTTGGAAAATACGAATCAAATTAAGCAAAATTTTATCATTTTGTCTATACTCTGGTGCGGTTGAACTTTTCAAACATAATTCTCGGATGTTCCTGTAGCATTTTCAACAGCTCGTAGTCCAGAGACAATTGATGCTTCAATTCGTTTACCCATTTTCTTCGTTTTTTGAGGTACTGAATATCGATTATCGAAAATTTTAATTTCCATTACTCCCGGAAATTAGTATCCACTTCGAAGGAAAACATTTTCGATGCGGCGGACATTTGGAAGAAAAGACTGTAATTAAAAGGTAGATTTTCAAAGACTCACGAGATTATTTCATTTTATAGAAATAGTGAACGAAGAAACCCCTCTTACTCCGAAAAGGACATCGGAAATCCATTGTTAACTGAGTTAATCAAAAATAAAGACTCTTAGATATACGATCGAAATGCAATAAAAGCCGAACGGTGGACAAATCGCACAGAATTGATTCCGAATTATTCAGAGATTTCGCGCGGATAAAAGCTGATAGCTCGGATAAATTTGAAACAGCCTGTAACACCGAGGCGGTGTCCGCACGACGCGCGTTCGAGCTCGCTTCCTCCTTCGTGAAAGATCGATTTGCCGCGGGTGTCGATCGAGGGAACAGCCCTCCTTCCGCGATTCCGCGTCTTTTGTTTGCGGGCCGATCGAGATCTACCGCGATAAAATAGCTTACTGCACGTACAACGCCACATCGCTGCTAACACGTCTAATGTAACAACGTTGCCCGTTTTCATTCTAATTACTCGCGGAATGTGGCTCCAAGCAAATTCTTTTCTTTTTTCCTTTCTTGCGGCTACGAGCTCCGCATACGTTCCTTATTACTCGCCCGGATTGAATTACAAACACGACGAACGGATCAACGCGAAAGCGTTCAAGCCGGGCCCCGGCAAATCGACCACTGTGAACTTCCGCTTTTCCAGAGATCAAATTATACGGAACCGGATCGTCCTCGTCGGCCTTTCTATTTATCTATCTATCTATCTATCTATATATCTATCTATCTATTTATCTATCTATCTATCTATCTATCTATCTATCTATCTCTCTCTCTCTCTCTCTCTCTCTCTCTCTCTCTCTCTCTCTCTAGTTTTTAATCGGCGATCTGTTATTAATCAGAGAAGACACAGCTCCGTCAGATTAATCGGAATTAATTGAACTTAGTCAGAACAATGATATTAATTCGATCTTAACGCGTGACAAATAACTTATTTTTTTCTTTATACGTATTAATAAACATGAAAATGATCTCTTTCTAAAATCCCCTGAGCGGATTCTTTCTTTCTCACAGAAAGATACATGTTTTTACGAGACAGGTTTATTCTACAGTAATTAATTTCACTGTAATATCAATCAATAATTAATTCCACATTGCAGTATTTTATTATAACATTTGCCCCGAAAATTTCCAACAAAAAGTACAGTTATTCTTGTTAGAACAACTTAATTTAGCGATAATTAATGTTATACGGCAAAAAAAACAGCGAGCATTAGCGATACGACGAAATATTTGCATATTCCGCAATTTCGCGAGCAAGGTCGCGGGCGATCGCATCTCGCGAAACGAGGCTATTCGCGGCGCTTAACAAAGGACACGTTTGTCGTGACAGATATATAATTGGCGCACGCGAGGTTCACCTCGCTCTGTAAAAGGCAGACGCTGAATGAACGGTCGTTGCGACCTTTATTGGCGTCTTAACACGCGTCGTAAAAGTCAGCTCTGAGTGAAAGAAACGCTGACACGAAACGGCCGGACGTTGTTTGCAGTGTGTTCTGTACAATTCATCGGCGTCGTTCATGCGCCAACATTATCATCAATTACACTCGAATAAAATAAATACACGTAGGGTTGGAGATAACGACATGTTGATTCGCGAGATTGCCTGTTATTTATTCTCCTTGAGAAGAGAATCTCTCGAACATTTGCGATATTTCGAGAAGTTACTTTGATATTTTATTTTATTTAACATCATTTATTAATTCAACATTTACGTTAACTCAACTAACGGAAAAAAAATTCCTTTAATAAAAAAATATAAAATAAAAAGCAGGTACATATGGAAAAGACAAAAGTAGGATTTACACTTACTTATAACGCGAAAATAAATACGAAAATAATTTACACAAAATGAGTAGTAGAGTAGAATTTAAATTAAAATTTGAACAATGTTCTCTTCTACAACAGTATCACAAGAGATATCAAACAAATTGACCAAATCAGTTTCATTGTCTAACGAAGATATACGATTAATAGTTTAAATCTCCTACAAAGATATATTAAAAGGAAAAAAATACCAAAGTTTGTTAGAGACGTTAGAAATCAAGTCGAGAAAAATCCAATTTACTTTGTTTCTTTTTCGTTTTGATGATGATATGATTATATTGCTCGCCACATTCTTTCAAATTCTTTATTGCTATAATTCCAAGAAAAACATAGCTTGAAATTATTCTCGTGTTAATTATTCTACTTGTACAGAACCGTCAGTCTCTTCTCTCTCAAGAAACGATCCTTGCCGTTTGTTGAAATTATAAATTGCCCTTGCGCAACTGTCGGCACGCACATAAAAGGATACAGCTATGTAACCAAACGCTAAAGCGCGCACGGTTAACATCAATTCGTCGGATAACACGCGATTCGTCACGCAGATAAATCCGGGCGCGTGCCGCGCCGCGAAATGACGAGGTAGGCGCGCGACGGCAGGTCTTTCGCGCCGCAAAATAGGAGAATAATACGCGAATATTATCCACGTAATAGCACACGGGCGCGCCTCTGAAAGAACCCTCGAGATTATATGCTACCCCGACTTTATTACTGACTACCACAACGCGCGTCGAGAAATGGAAACCCTCGAGTGAAAGCTGCATCTTTCTACCCCGAAGCAGCTCACGCTGCGTATCTCGAAGAATTA